CATAAAAAATGATGAGTTCGTGTCCTTTGTAGCGACATGGATGAACCTGGAAACCATCATTCTCAGCGAACTGACAACAAGAACAGAAAGTCAACACCATGTGTTCTCTCACTCATAGGTGGCTGTTGAACAATGAGAACACATGGACACAGGGAGGGGAGCATCACACACTGGGGTCTGTTGGGGGGAAATAGGGGAGGGACAGCAGGAGGATGGGGAGTTGCGGAGAGATAGCATGGGGAGAAATGCCAGATATAGGTGATGGGGAGGAAGGCAGCAAATCACACTGCCATGTGTGTACCTATGCAACAATCTTGCATGTTCTTCACATGTACCCCAAAACCTAAAATGCAATTAAAAAAACACACACACATATGACACTTAGAATTGTACCTGGCACATTAATAAAACCTTGTACATTAAAAAAAAAATCTGCATTTATAAACAGAAATTTCTTTAAATGTTTAAAGAAAACCTAGTATTTTAATTAGTAACCTCATAAACTACCTGTTAATTGTAAAGCCCTAAGTAACCATAAATGGTTTTTCCTCAAGAATACAAACTCTTCTTACAGCACCATTTAAAATTTTTTTTATTTTTGAGACATGGTCTCGCTCTGTTGCCGAGGCTGGAGTGCAGTGGTACGATCTCGGCTTACTGCAACCTCTGCCTCCTGAGTTCAACCAATGCTCCTGCCTCAGCTTCCTGCGTAGCTGAGACTACAGGCATGCGCCACCACATGCAGCTAATTTTTGTAATTTTAGTAGAGACAGGGTTTCACCATGTTGCCCAAGCTGGTCTCGAACTCCTGACCTCAGATGATCTGCCCACCTCGGCCTCTCAAAGTGCTGGGATTACAGGCATAAGTGCCTGGCCCACTTTTAAAATGAAGCAGAAGAAAATTCCCAGTTACAAATCCTACCCAAATTATAAATTCCCTATAAAGGAACCTATGGAGAAATGAGGAGTAGAATGAAGTGAGTGGACATCAGAGCAGGAGGATGGGAAGACACCCCTGCAAAAGCCTCTGCCTCTCAACTCAAAATGCCAATGAGAATTTTTGTAGAGATAAAATACTGAATACAGCCACAGAGCCTTATAAAATAACGAGGTGGATTTACTTTACTAACATAGAAAGATGGGCTGTAAAACAATGTACAGCATGGTGTCTCCTGGGGCCCAGAGACTCCCCTCTCCCTTCATCAGCCTCTGTCATCTGTGTTTGCCCCCAGCAGCAACACTCCCACCCCTCCTCCTCCTCCTGGTTGTCACTCCCTCCAAGTATCCCGTCCCTGCCTCAAGAGTGTCTCTATCTCTGGCCCCCTCTCCCTCTCTCCTCAATTTCCCCCAGGGCAGTGCCTTTGCAGTGGGTGGAATGATAGGCCTCTGGCCTCCACTCTGTCTACTGCTACCCTTGCTCAAGGCTGCTCAACCAGGGAGGAGACGGGCATCTGGCAGGGTAGTCACTGGGGCCAGAGGGAATGGTCAGTCAGGACACATTCTGGAAGAACACTTGCTGGATTTGCTGCCATGGCCAGTGTTCAGATCTCTCACTGTGATTGTCTGTTTCTCCTGTCAGTTCCAGTTCTTTCTGTTCCAACAGCATTTCAGAGCTGTGTTCTTTGATGCTTTTATGTTTAGCATTGTTGTATCATCCTGTTAACCTGACCATTTGGTCACTGAGATGTCCCTCCAGTCTAATGAGTCCTCCCGCCTGAGGCTGTGCCATCTGATGTGAACGGCCCTAGCAGACGTGGGTGGTGCTCTGGCTTCTGGCCTCGCATTCACTCTGCGTCCTTGGACTTGATGTGTAAGTCCTGTGAATGAACACAGCTGGGTTTTGTCACTGTATCCAATCTCACACACTGAATCAGCGTATGCATTCCACTTATATTTAATATGCTTGCAGATACACTTGGTTTAAATCTACCATTTGCTTGTCTCCTGTGTATACCATCTGGTTATTTTTTCTTTCTTCTTTGGGATTAGTGAAAGTAGTTATTAGCCCAATTTCTTCTTTATCAATTTCCTGAACATGTTTATTGCTTTTAGTGGTTACCCTAGAGATCACATGACAGATGTCAGAGTCTACTTATTTATTTAGAGATGAAGTCTTGCTCCATCGCCCAGGCTGGAGTGCAGTGGCACCATCTCAGCTCACTGCAACCTCTGCCTCCTGGGTTCAAGCAATTATCATGCCTCAACCTCCTGAGTAGCTGGGACTACAGGCACACATCACCACGCCTGGTTTTTTATTTGTATTTTTTTAGTAGAGACAGGGTTTCACCATGTTGGCCAGGCTGGTCTTAAACTGCTGACCTCAGGTGATCTGCCTGCCTCAGCCTCCCAAAGTGTTGGGATTATAGATGTGAACCACTGGGCCTGGCTCAGAATCTCCTTTAAATCCATAAATCCATGCTTTCACCCCTTACAGGACAGTGCAATCGTTATTTCCCTCCCAGCTTTTGTGCTTACTGTCCATGTATCATACGTCTACCTGTATTTTAAACCCTAAGAGATAGTTTTAGGCAGTCCACTATTTATTTAGCTTTCCCGTTTCCATTCCTTTCAGGAATGTGCCTCTTTCCTTCCCACATCAAATGTCCACCTGGAGAATTCCCTCCAGGATATATTTTAGGCCTGGTTGGCTGGTGACACATTTTTAAAATTTTTTATTTTGCCCCCAAACTTAAGTTTACCCTCACTTTTGAAGAATCTTCACACTGGGTATAAAAATCTAGATTGGTAATTATTTCCCTTCAGCATTTTAAAGCAGCCACTCAACTGTTCCAGCTATTTGTTTTAGAGAGTCAGCTGCCAGCTTTATTGCTCCCCTGAAGGTAAAAGTGTCTCTTTCTCTTTGGGTTTCAGCACTTTGCCGTGATGTGCCTAGGTGCAGGTTTTTTGTCACTTTTAATTTATCCTCTTTGGGGTTCAAAGATATTGACACTTGTGGGTGATGTCCCAACAGTTGTGGAAAGTCTTCAGCTGTGATCTCATCCAAACGGCACTCCACCACTTTGCTCCCCCCTTCTGGGACTCCCGTTGGCTGTGTGCTGCACCTTTCTCTTGCACTATGTCTCTCAGGCACTTTTCACCTCTCTGTAATCTAATGTTTTCTACTGGCTTGTCTTCCAACTCAGTAATCCTTTCATCTCTATGTCTAATGCAATATTAACTACATCTAGGGAACTCTTCATTCCTTATTGTGTTTTTCAGCTTCAGCATGTTTACAGATTCTTACCCTCTAGCGGCATTCTCCACCTTCTCATTCATATTGAATGTATAAATCATCAAGTCCATGTCTGAAACCCTGGTATTTGGATCATGTGTGACACTATTTCTGTTGTCTTCTTATTCGCTTTCCTTTCAGTCATTTGGTCCTTTTTTTTCCAGTGTGTCTTGTCAATTTTTATGAGAGTCAAACCGTTTATCTGTAAAGTTATAGGAGCTCTGATCTTTTCATTGAAAGAAAGTTTAGTTCTCCTCTGGTAGAAAGGTGAGACAGGGCAGATCACCCTGAGGCAGTCAAGGCTGAGATGACTCAAGCCACAACCAGACTTGGTGAGGGCTGGGCCCTCTCCAGTTTGCCCTTCAGGGGTCTCGCCTGGAAACCTCAGCATTTTCTCAATGGCAGGCGCTGAATTCCTGTTTTGTCTCCCTCGCCCAAGGATGTCTCAGCTTTCCAGGCTTTTGCTGCTATCTTTGGGTTTTGTTTTTTTTTTTTTCAGATGGGGTTTCACCATGTTGGTCAGGCTGGTCTTGAACTCCTGACCTCGGGTGATCCGCCCGCCTTGGCCACCAAAGTGCTTGGATTACAGGCGTGAGCCCTGACGCCCGGCCTATCTTTGGGTTTCTAAGCCTCCTGCCTTGAGCACAAGCAGCCACCAGGAATGGGTACCTGCTGCAGGGTAAGCTGCACACACAGTTCTTTGAGGCTCCGGCATCCTGCAGGGAACTCACACCCTTCTCTGAGGCTCCAGCGTCCTGCAGGGAACTCACACCCTTCTCCGAGGCTCTGACATCCTACAGGGTCTCTGAGGCTCCGGTGTCCTGCAGATAACTCGCCCTTCTCCGAGGCTCCGGCGTCCTGCAGGGAACTCACCCTTCTCCGAGGCTCCGGCGTCCTGCAGGGAACTCACCCTTCTCCGAGGCACCGGTGTCCTGCATGGAACTCACCCTTCTCTGAGGTTCCGGCGTCCTGCAGGGAACTCACCCTTCTCCGAGGCACCGGTGTCCTGCATGGAACTCACCCTTCTCCGAGGTTCCGGTGTCCTGCAGATAACTCACCCTTCTCCGAGGCTCCGGCGTCCTGCAGGGAACTCACCCTTCTCCGAGGCTCCGGCGTCCTGCAGG